AAAGACGTTGCTGCAGGCTCCCCCCCTCCCCACCCCTGCAACACCAGGGAGATCCTGGCTGTGCGCCCAGTGTCAGGGCTAGGGGGATACATTCCCCCCCCCCCACCTTAACACCTAAAGTCTAATATTAAGTCTGTTAACAGGGGAAAAATCCCCTCTCTGCACCAGGGGCAGGTTGGGGAACTGAGGCTGGGGGATCCAGCCAGGCCCCAAGTTGAGGGGCTGTTTCCCCCTGGAAGAGGGGGACTGCAAAGGTTTGGGGGGGATGTGCTGGGCAGCCAATCAAGGATAAGCCTTGCTTGGCTGCATTTAGGTGCCTTTGGCAGTGGCTGGCAGGCTGGGAGGCATGCTCTGTCACCCCCTGGCTACTGGTGTGGGCCACTGCAGGGGTCTGGCTGCCTTTCTTGTTTCAAAAGTGAATGTGGGTTCACTTACTTGTTTCAATCTACACCGTTTAGAGAAACCTGCAAAGACTGAATCAGTTCTGACTGGGGCTTTTTGACATTCTGAGCAGCACAAATGTTGATCAGTGTCAGTGCTAGCTCAAAATCCTCTCTTCTCATTCTAAGCTTCCGCCTTGGCTCCCAGAGCTCCCCTGATTTCCCCCACCTCCATGGATCTTCCCCTGCCCCTCAGGGTTCCTCTCTCCCCCACTTTTGCCCTTTCCCACTTACTTGTGGCTGCCCATACTGTCTGTCCCAGTGGAGGAAATTGGAGTAGGGGCAGTGAGACAGAATCTGGGGTGCTGGGGAGGGCGGGGGGGGGGCAGTGGGCACAATTCACACCAGTGGGAAAGTGGGGTGGGTGGCTGGGTGGCTGGAATGTTTGCACTAAGGTGCAGCCTAGAGTGGCTATATCTTGGTGTGACCTGAGCTAGGTGATATGAATCAGAGAGAATCCTGCCCTAGGGTGGCATAACTTTATGCAAACTAAGGAGTGCTTAAATGTAGTTTCAGGTATTAATGTGCAGACAATCCAGATGTTAAGAGTTCCAGGAACCATTCAAAATTATCATGTAATTAGGTCATATCTTTTATGAGATCAATTTCTGGCAGGGTACTCATCAAGAATGGAAAAGACCTGGTTCAATTCTCTCCTCTGCCCACATGTGATTTGAACATCAATCACCTGCCACTGAAGAAAGAGCCCTACTCCCCCAGTTAACAATTATTCTGGGGTTGGCTGCTTGCCACCTCTCCTGGTCTCATGTTTCCTCTTTCATGTAAATAATTAACATTTATTGACCAGGCACAGAGCAAGGGTGAATAGACTGGCTGCTGGGACATTCAGCTGGGAATTGGGCAGTGGATTCCAAACCCTTCTCCAGTGACAGTGTAAAAGTTTATATGAAGTGGAACAGAAGAGATAAAGAACGCTCTACTTCAGAATGCCCTGTATGACGATGGTGAGCCCCCTCTTCTGAGAGAGGAATGAAGAAGGTTCAAACTGCCTTGGGCAGAAGAGGGAACTGTTTGTTCCTCTCATGGTTATGGAGAAAACTTTGAAAGTATGAAGCCTAACGGTATATTTTAAAAGTATCCCTTTTTTGATGACTGATTCATAAATTTTAAATGTTTGGGAAGGAAATCATAAATAGATATCTTTTTGCTAATGTTGCCCAAATGTCTGTTTTTCATTATCAAAGTTAGAACAAGGTGGGGGATTTTGGTGGTGGTGGTGGGTTCTTTATTTATTTATTTATTTTCATTTTAATTGATGGTCTGGAAGTCGAACACTCAAAGGGCAAATAGTACTCATGGGTCAGTACACGCCAACAAAACTAGCCATTACAATCTATCTTACTTGCATCTATCTTATGAGTTTATTTTAGTATATGTTCCATGATGCAGATAATGCTGACTCACCATTTCTACTTAGCACCCATTAGTCAGTTAATATAAAAATGATGAGCACTGCATTCTATTCACTGGTTTTGATACCTACAAGATTTTATTTTAATGTTGAAAAAATTGGTAAACTAATTTCAAATTATATTTTAGTCCGTAACTGTGGCAGACACAAACCTGTTGTGATGTCCGTTCTGCTCAGTGCCTAAGGCATCTTCTAAATCATTAGCATAAGTGCTAAGGGATACAGTTAGATGTATTTAAAAACATATTGAAACTGAAAAGTACAGAAAACACTTTATTTAATGTTACAATAAATTCAGAAAAATATTATATTTAGATTTTTTGGCTTTAACCTGAATTTCTTTTTGAAATGTATAAAAGACTCAAACATATTTGACAATGATATGGACACAACAGTACTATTTGCTATGGTTTATTTTCTACAATCTGGTTAAATGTATCATGCAAATAATTGAATAAAAATACATGTACATATGACTTACTGTGAAATAGCAATTCTACCAGTAGCGGATAAAAATCTTGCCATGAATGTTTAAATGTAAATATGACAAAAACAACAATGAACAACTAAATACCTGGAAAAAAAAATTGTGTTTCCCCATCATCTGTCAAGTATTTAATTAATTTCAGTCTGCCAGGGACTCTGAAAATGTATTTTCTTCAAATTTTATAATTTTCATTGCTAAATTATGCTTTTCCTTAGTGATTGCTAAACATGGCAAAAACATGTATAATTTGAATATTGAGTGTGACCCAGAAGGGTATTGTACCTATACACAATTTAGCCCTAAAATACCATTCAGAATTCTGCCCAAACTCATCTGACTTCTATGCAAACCTGAGCAAGACTCTACACTGTAGGGCTAGGGACAGAAGTTATGCATAAACCAGTTTAAGTGATCATAAACTGATTTAAACCTGTAACAGAACAGAAGTTCAGTGCACATAAACTGCTTTACAAATAACCAAAACCAGTTTAAGATAAACCTGGTTAGATATAGTATCAGACCTCATTGATTTAGGTCAAACCAGGTTTATGGAACTTCTGTCCCAGATCCCTTCCTGGTGCAATTAATTCGCAGACCCGCCGCAAATTAATTCCCCCCCCCCCCCCCCCCCCCCCAGCATCCCAGGATGCTTTGCAGCCCTGGGGTATGCTGCCTGCTCCAGTGGAGCAGGGACTGCCTCACTCCTCTGCTCCTTAGACTGTTTCCTGCCTGCATCCATTAGCTCATAGGGATGGGGAGGCAGGGGAATAGACCCCCATATCACTCTAGTCAGGGTCTACACAGCACATCGGGGGAAGGAAAGTCCCTTTGCTGGGAGCTTTCCAGCCCTTGGCAGCTCTCTCTTTTTCCTCCTCCCCATTCCCAGCTGCTGTTTGCTTCAGCAGCTGCCACAGGATAGAGGAAGAAGGAGTTGCCCTAGCTGGGTGTCTGCCATGCAGTCCAGCATGGAGGCATTGGGGAGCCCCTACCTTGGGGGGCTTCCCCCCACCTTAGCCCAGGGTCCCCTAGCCTAGGTAGCCCTAGGTTGCTGAGGGGAATTTTTCCCCTCTGGAAGGGCAGAGAGGCTTGCCTCAGCCCCTGCAAGTCTCAGGCAGCTTCAGGGAGTGGAGGGAAATTCTCCTGCTTCTCCCTAGCTGGTTTTGCTTTGGGTGCTGAGAGTCTGAGGCAAAACAAATGCCGGGGAACAGAGGAAATTCCCTCCGCTCCACCTTTCCCAATTGAAAACTGAATGTCAGTTCAGTTGGTTATTGGTTCAACCTACTCAGCTTAGAGGGAGCTGCCTAGATTGAATGAATTTAGCCTCATGTTTTTTGACTGTCTGTACTTAGCCTAGATGGTATGTGTGTGTATCTGTGTGTGTGTTGTTTGTGAGTACAGAAACTGTTACAACTGTGATATTTATTACTTTCACTTTTTAGCTAGATGGGGTCTTTATTTTTGGCTGAAGCAAGTCCTTCTCCTATTTCCTAACACAGACAACTGAAACTATTTGTAAAGCTATGCACAAACATATTTTTTAGGATCACCATGTTCAAGCTAAATATTAACAAACAGAATAGATAATATGCAAATTGACCCTTGGTATATCCTAATTTTAAAGAGTGAGTGTGATGTAAATCATATGATTATGGCCCTTAGAAAGAAATTAAAGGTTTTGAGGCCCATCACTCCAGTGAGATCTCTGTAGCTACACGGAGACAGTTGTACATTTCATGTGGTAGGTCAGCTCGAGTGAGATTATTTCCATCCAAGCGCAAATGTGTTATCTTGGAATAGGTTGCTGGTCCAACAACTTTACAAAAGCTGCTCAGTGGAAACTCTGGAATGCAAATAGAAGAAGAAACAAGTCATTACTGCAAATAATTATAATCACATACTTTTTAGCACATTAGTTTCAAATTATGATTAACGTTAAAAAAACTTTTAATGGCCAGGTGTTCAAAAAAACTCAAGGCTCAATGTTTTTCAGGTGTTCAGCACCCACAAATGGCAGTGGCAACATGTAGGGGGTGCACATGCACCCCTGAGAACGCTGGTGCCTCCCCTCAGAGCACTGGCTGGGGAGTGCACCAAGAGAAGCAGTCCCCCCACAGCCAATCCCGCTGACCCAGGAGTGCCAGCAGCGCACTGCTGCCAGTTGCGGATGGAAAGGATCAGCTGCAGAGGGCATCCCCCGGCCTGTGGGATTGGCTGTGGGGAGACTCCCCTACCCCCCAGTCACTGACTATCTAGTTAGGGGGTCAAGTGCCCTCCCCTGACTCAGGAGGCACCAGTTGCCCATGACAAATGGTGTCTGATAAAGTAACTGCTTCTAAATAAACGGCCGAATTTTCAAAAATTTTCAACGCTAATGGGTGGAGGGGGGTTGCAGAACAGCCTTTTTGGCAGACAAGGTTCTTTGGGTGAATCTGATATCTTTTATTAGATAAACTTAAGTTGGTCTAATAAAAGATATCAGATCACCCAAAGAACCTTGTCTGCCTATGTCCTTAGACCAACACACAACACTATTTCTATTTGGAAAATTGTGGAGATGTAAAAAATATACTAAATGGAAGGGCAATAAAGAGAGAGAGAATGTCCTTACAGGGTGTGAAAACAGATTAGGGGTACACAGTATGCAGGGGATGCCATCCAATGGGAATCTGCCAGGTGCTTCATTTTTAGTATGTTGTTTAGTTTATTTCATTTGAAAGTAAAATTCATTCCTGTACTTTAAAAAAAAAATCCTGACCTAACTAACCACTGAATCTGTGGGATCTTTATTGACTTGTATTTCACTTCAAATGATATACCAAACATGTGCTGTATTCAGCTTGAAATGGAAAGTGCCTTGTATTTTCTGAGTTGAAACAGGACAATCCAAACTATGAGGCAGATGCAACAAGCTCCTCCCTTATGTAGGACCTTTGCTTATGAAACCTATGCAGTTCAGTGTGTGAAGGAAGGATTAGATGTTCAGAAATGTTCTTTTGGAAAGGATAAGTATTCCATGTACAAGGAGTCAAAGGCCAAGAAAGATCTTTTCAATCTGTTCTAGCCATGGAGCAGCTCCAAGCATACTTTATGCCTTGTGATTATTTGCCTTCTCATTAATCTGATTAGAACCCTGCCTGATTACTGGAGCTGGGTGCCAGGGATTGGATTGTTCCCTATTAATAGAAAACACAGGCCCTCAAGTTATTCATTAGCTTGGCCTACTAAATATTCATGTTCATATTTCTACAGACATGTTGAGTGTAAATTATAAAATTCATAGATAAACACATACTCAAATACAAAGGCTAATCTATTCATTGTTTTGGTTTAAGAAAAAAGAATATTATGGTCAATGATTTTAAGGTCATATTTTCAAACAGTGAATCATAAATTTGCAGTTGCAGTTTTCAATGTGATTTTTTTTTTCAGTAAAAGAGTAAAATGTGTCCATGTTTGCAAAATAAGCTTTACATACGCCAATTACATACATATCTAACTACCTGAATTACATATCTTAATTACTTGTCTACATTTAAATATTCTAAGAACTACAAAATTATCTCAACAATGCAGTAGTTGTATCAAGGTCAGTTTTAAAGTTGTACCATGATTCAGTCCTCACAAATCAAATCCTTAGAGCAGTGGTTTTCAACCTGTGGTCCACAGACTATGTTGAGGTGGACCTTGAAAGATGACTATGAACAATCAAAAGTATGTGAATACTCGCACTTACAATTCAAAGGGGTCTGCTCCTCCAATTAAAAGATCCAATTTCCATACCTTCATTCAAAATGTTTTGGGGTCCACAAATGAAAACCACTGCTTTAGTGGCTTCTGTTAAAAACAGTTGGCAATAAGGATTCTATTTCTGTCTCTTGGCCTGTTGCTTTTACATTTTTGTTTTATAAGAGATTTTATAGAGTACATATAATTGTCAAAATATTGAAGACATTATTTGTTTTCACTTTTGAATAATGAATTGTCAAGACTATCTTATGAAAGCATTTGTATCCTTCTTTATAACCCCCTGACATCAGCAGATTACTATAATGTGCCTGATTTAGTAAGACCATCACATTACAAATATTCCTCCTATAATGTTTCACTGATGTTACAGGATCCACATGCGTGGAGATGAGGCTAGATTTTTGTCATTAGTATCAACATGATCATTGCCAAGACAAAACATTCCTTAGCACTTAAGCCCCAGATAGAGACTATAAATGTCTTTGGTTAAAAATTCCCATTGAACTTGTTTTTCAGTGGAAGCTTTCAGTGTCAATTAACCAATTTTTTGTCATAACATGCCTGTCCTTTCTGAAGAAAATTTTGATAATTAATTGAAATATGAAATATTAGAAAGCCATTTTTGACTGATAACCAAAATATTTTAATTCAAATTGACAACATGGAAGCCTTAGTTCAGGTTGTCTCTGCTCCTGTCTATTACAACTCCCATGGTACAGGAACAGACTCCTACAGTAATCATGTCCTCTCACAAGGTCATAAAAACCTTATTTTTTGACTTGCTTTAGTTGAGGTGCCAGGCAGGATTGTATGGACATCTTCCATATGCCAAAGATGATGGCATCTGCTCTACTTTGTATAGGCTACTGGGCAGTGAAGTGTGCCTGGAAAAAACTAGGGATGGAGCATAGAAGGACATGAGACTACCAAAACAGAGTAGTTCCAGAATTCACTCAGCTGCAATATCAGTACAAAGGGGATTGATTCAGCTATTAATCCAACCCACAAAATGGAGGCGGTCTAGAGTCCTGGTATGATGTAGAGGTTGATTTCTCCTACCTTTTATAGTCCATTCACATTGAATTTGGTCACTAGAGTTTTTTACATTGGGAATGTAAATCTAACATTTAATGCTTAGTAACTGCAAAGCGAGATATGGAAAAGTCTGGTTATGGGCAAAATTAAGGTCTCTCTGAACTTCTTTGACTGTAATAAGGCCAAAGTAACACAATTTCAAAGCATCATTTTCTTACTTGCTCAAGGATGTGGGTCTGTCATTTTAGATCTACTTTACCATCCAATGAAGGGAAGCATATTTTGGGCCTGCTTCTATTCTACACTGAAGCAAATTTTCTAAAAAGGGGACATTTAAACAAGGAAGATTCAAACTTTAGCTACACTGTGAGAGGCTTAGAGAAAGCTAAGGTATAGTCATCCACTTGTCCTGTTTTCACTTTGGACCCTTAACTGACCCAAAGTGTATCAAGAGAAGTGCTCAAGTTATAAGGCCAGAATGGCCCTGTAGCCTGCATCCACATGTGGTGTGGATGTTTGGTTGCTCTGGAAGAACTAGCAGTGGTGCACAAATCTGGTTGGCAGGAGCCCAACATTTTTTCATGCTAAGGGTTCCTCAGGTACCCCTCTGGATAGCCTTGAGGTCATTTTCTGCAGCATGGCAATGTAAAGGACCATAGTATTGCCACGGGAAAGACCTAGGAACATTAATTCAGAGAATGTATTTTTTTTCTGGTTATATTTTAGGAATATTCCTTCAAATGGCTCTTTCCTACCATCAGATTTTTCTGTGTCTGATCTTGTAGTCAAATTTATTATAATAACATTTATTAGAGATTATTATATGGTAGAAAAAAACTGGGAAATAATATAATGGTGTTTGGAAAATTCAATGAACTGTTTCACTGCTAAGTTCTACTACTGACATTTTACTCTGTCATATCCACCATTATGGCTTCATTGCAGAATCAAATGCAAGTAGATGGAATGGATGAACTCAGAGGAAAACCCCCATTCAATACAAATATTATTAGGTAAGAGCTAAGTATGACTCTGCTGGTGGGAAAAATAATAATGGATTTACATATAAAGAAATGAAGATTTTAAAAAAAATATGTGTAGTTTGAAAGGATATACCATCAATTTTAAAAGTCTTCTTTTATAATCTAACAGTTTAGGGTTAGTCTGTCACTAGTCCTATGAAGTCAGGAAAGGTTCTCTTTCACAGTATTCCCATAAAATGTGTTGTATTGTGAAAAAAAGCAGGTTTTCCATGGCCTAACCTAAAGTGTTGCTTACATAACTCGTTGGACTTCAGAAAGAGTGAAGAAATCACTGAAGCAGTTGAAATAGTGAGTTTTCATTATTCCCCATAATCAGATAACTTAATTTAGGATAATATAAATATTGTTGTCCCAACTTTGAAAGGACTCTACTTACAAACACCCAAAACTCTTAGGACAAGATCAATAGAGTGAGATGTGCAAGAGTTTTGCCATTCAGGTCTTGCATGAATTGAAGTGCTTATCTGTAGACACTGATCTCCAAAAAGCTTAGCTATAGTCCTTAATTAGAAATACATCATGAATACAAAATGCCAAAATGGAGACCTGGTTATAAAAAATTGATACACCTTATTGCTGCATATTTATTGTTATACAGAAACCGTTAATTATTTAATGATCTTTAAATATTTCTTAAAGTGGGGAAAATTGTGAAAAATAACTGAGAAAAAATGTCAAAAGTGTTCCCAGATTTCTTTCCTCCCCCCTCCTCCCCATATGGTCCACCATCCTCAGCCATTGTCACTAGACCCTACTAGCTGGAGGAAAATCACATATTCTGCTTTGGTAGAATTATTTCTGTCTATGGACCTTCATGAGTTTATGATGCAAGGAATTTTATCAAGTGACTCTAGAAGTATCTTTGTCAAATCCTGTTTGAATGGAGAGAACCTAGCCACATAGTCAACTCTTGTGGGTGATGGGAATGAAAAAGAGGAATGTACTGGATTACATCATCTCTTGGGGTTGAGTGTTGGGGACACAGGAACGAATAGAAAAAGTTACTTGACAGTGTTCTTTCATTATGACACTTCTTAGTACCTTGATAGTTTTCTTGTTTTACCTACTATCTCTTTGAATGCTATAGATATTGGAGCTCAGCAACTTTTTTTTTTATAAATCCTAGGATATTTATTGATTCAAGCATCTTGAATATCTCTGATATTGATTAAACATTTCCACTAGCCTAACTGGTACAAAAAACATAGCTCCATTGGTTTTGTTTTTTTTTTAAGAATTGTGCTGATTTACACTAGGTGAGGATCTGTCCAATATATGGGTTTGTGTGTGTGTGTGTGTGTGTGTGTGTGTGTGTGTGTGTGTGTATTGCTTGAACATTTCCTAAACATTTATTTGGGTAGTGGACAGAAAAGTGACAGTGCTCTAAAAATTATGTATAGTTTGTGTTCAGTCCAGGTTCACTGGTGCTACTACTTTAAACATGTTAATCCATTAACAGTGTCTTGGTTGCATAGTTGTTACATCAAAATAAGAAAACATGACTTACTGTTAATTTTGTTGACTTGGAGGTAGAAGTTTTCAAGGTTTTCACTGACTGTTGGAATACTCTTCAGGTTGTTAAAGGAGAGATCCAATTCGACTAGTGAGGAGATATTGAAAACATTGCCTGGTATTCCAGAATCTTCCAACTTATTGTGAGACAAACGTAAATACTGCAGGACTTTAAAACCCTGGAAGAACTCATCAGGAACATTGCTGATCAGGTTGTTGTCAAAATATAGCATGAGTAAGGAGCGAGGCAGTCCTGTTGGTAGCTTTGTAATTTGATTGAAGCTCAGGTCTAGATACAGAAGAGAATTCAGGCCTCTAAAAGCCCCAGAAAGAACATCTCCTTTCAGCTGGTTGTTCTGTAGGTGAATGACAGTCAGGTTCATAAGTCCTTCTAGTACATTGGGGCTGACTTTTGTGATCTTGTTGTGACTAAGTTGCAGTTCATCCAGGGTTTTGGGAAGTGGTCCAACAACTTCAGTCAAGTTGTTATAATTTATATGCAGTTTCTTTAAATTCTTCAGTTTAGCAAAGACTTTTCCCTTAATTTTTGAGTTTTCCAAATGGTTATTATCTAGGATCAGCCACTGTAGATCTGTTACATTCTCAAATGCATTTTCTTCAATGCCCTCAATCATATTGTTTCGGATATATAGGTATTTTATTCCAGAGGGTACAATTGGAAAACTTTTTAGTTTAAGATTATCACAGTACATTGCAGTTGGGTAGTTTATAGGACAGTCACATTCTGGGGCACAGAGTGATGGAGATGGCACATAACGCTCATAACCATAGTCATCTGGATTATAGTCATATTGACAGAAAATTCCACTGATCAATACCAGAAAGAAAGGCACGGAGTTTAGATGCATCTTTGCCTTGTGTCCTGTCCTGTATAATGGAGAAAAGAAGTTGTAATTCCTCTGGCATTTTTTTTTATTTTACAATCTAAAGACTATGAATAAAGAAGACTGAAAGGACAGATTGGGTTCACTGAGGTTCTTTGCTAATAAAAATGTAAATAAATTAGGATTTGTTATAGTGAACTTTGAATTCTTTTCACATTTTTAAAATGATATTGCATAGCATTGGCAATGCACAATACTACCGTTACCAGGATCTTATTTAATTACCCACCTTTTTAATTACATTAGTTAGGAAATGTATATATAGAGGGAAAAAAGTGTCCTTTTGGGCCTTTCAAGAAGCTGACACTAAAAATGTATGTTATCTATCTACTTTGAATATACATACTGAATGAAGTGAGCATTCATTTACATTATCTTCCAATAGTTTCATTTTTCATATGTAAATACTAAATATACTGTTGAAACCCCTTTTTAAAGCAAGGAGCCAATCAACAACTCACCCCAAATGGGTGGTCATTCTCATTTCAAAAAGAAAAAATTGTTTCATTACATTTGGGGATACATTGATGTGGTCTGAAATTACAGGAAATTACTTAACATCAGTGTTTTTATTATAATTTCTAAACTGCTTAGCTTTGCATTTATCCCTTCACATTACACTGCCAGAAACCAGTTTACACAGAGGTGCTGTAAATCAGTCTAGCACTAATAAAGTTATCCTGAATTACATCAGCTAAAGACATGGCTCCACATGTTTTTATCTAATGTTCAGAATGAAGTACATGAAAAGCAACAAAAATAATTTCATGCAAATTAATGCTTAAAGTGTCTTTTTTTATTCCCAAGTACTTTCAGAATGTATCTATGTGTAGCTTGGTATACATAGACCACTAGACCTTGATCTAAGGTCTATACAGCACTCCACTAGAATCCAGTTATTCCTGTTGTTTGTCTTATTTAATTCTAATGATTTGCTGAGAAGTATAAATAATACTGAGAAGCCCTGCAGAGTTCTCCAGTCTCAACGAGACTGCACATATGCCCAACTCTGTTTCCTTGCTTTTTTGGCTTGGTAAATAACCCTTGAACTAAAGCACTTCCAAGTAGGGCATATTGATCTATCATCCAATGTAATAGTTTTAAGGTGTTGTTAAAGTCACTTTCAGGGCAATTACACTCCCATGTAATTTAGCATTGTAAGCATTTGAATAAGGAGATATATTAAATATATTTAATCAAGGATTATCCTGTCAATATTGCCTAATTCTAGAAACTGTTGGTTAGATTTATCATGTGGCCACGTTTTAGCATAGGTAGTATGAAAGTAATTTCCTTTGTCTGTTAGCAAATTTTGTATGAAAACATATCAGCTGAATCACAACATGGCCCATGTCCTCAGCTACTCTAAGTAGGGATGTCTTTACAAAATCAGGAGATTTGCACTTCTTTACATCAGCTCCAAATACAGTCCAGTGTGTGGTAAAGCAACATTAAGAATGGAATTCTTACTGTTTTCCTGAAAACATGGAAAGTTAGCATTATGGCCAAGAGTTTGGACTGGCACTCTTCAGCCTTATAATCTTTTATGTATTTGCATTGTTTTTGGCATAAGTAAAGGCCTATTAATCGAGGAGAACAGATGGTGTATCTTAACTTCAAATTCCTTTTGTGGTTTTAATTTATACTTTCAAATGGTTCTTTACTTCATTCTGGATTTCATATACAGGCCACTTCTTTTAATGGCATTAAATATTTGAAATATTCAGTGAGAGACTGGAATAGATTAATATTACAAATATGGTATTAAAATATGTGGCATATTATTAAGCAGTGAAGCTGTGTGTGATTGTATATGTGTGTTTGTGTGTGTAATGCTTACTAAAGCTATCCAAATAAATAGGTAAAACAGTTAATTAGTTTTATTGCTGAATTCTTAATAAGCATATATAAAATGTTTCACTATTAAAATGTAAAACAACCAGAGATCATATATGTGCTAAAATGTTAACTTGAAAAATGATAATTATAATTATTATGTCAGAGGAAGTTCTTAAATATTTGTCCTACAGCAAAAAAAACTTTTGAATAAAATATATTGATTATTATATTTGTAATTTTAAAATACATGTGAAAACTTCTTTGAGGTTGAATAGAAGACATGGGAAATGCTAAAGTGCATCATTACAAACCTCACAGAATACTTTCTAGACTGGCAAAGACCATAAAAGACACAGTGAAAATATTCTTTAAAATACTGGACTGCACCGATTATATAAGCATTGTAAAAATAATTAATTAATAATCTTCAAAATTTAAATGCATATTATGATTCTGCAACATCAGTTCCCTTTCTTCTGGCTGTGATGAAAAAGACGATTTTTTTTTTAAGTTATAATTAGATATTTTAAAGTTTTCAAAATGATAAATGAATTAAAATTCCAAATGAGCTAGAATTTCTCTTTTCCCAGCTGCCTAATTCTTAAATGTTCATGTACTTCATTCTTCTGTAAAACAGAACAGTAATGACTTACAACATGAAGAAGATGGATAAGGTATTGTTGCTAACAGAATCCTGAATGAGTGAGTAAAAGTAATACTTTTTAATTTTCCTTGCACTGTATGTTAGATTTCCCTCTTTAAAAAAAACAATACATGCGACAAAAAAGTGCAACACTAACTCACAAATGTGAGGTTACTTTAAGAAAACTGTGAAAGCAAATTGCACTAAACAACTGCTGATTTGTGTTCAATTTACAAATTGGCAAAGTTGTCCTGACATGTTTTCATGTTCTCATTATAGCTACATTCAAATAGCAGAGCAATACGGGTAAAACATGCAACAGTACTTACCTTACAGTCTTGAAGCTGCTTTCTTTAATTCCCAGAGCAGATGCAATAAGGGAATCTGTATCGACCAATATATGCTGTAAATAGTGTCAGGAGGTAACTGGCTGCCAGAACCTCTGTAATACAAAAGCTAAAAAAACCCAAGAAAAAAAAAACAGAAGAAAACCCCTAGTCACGCTGTTGACTGAAGCTGCTATGTCATCATGGTGATCTTGTGGTGTGGCATGTACAACTGCTGCTCTCTAATGAAGTGCAGGTGGATACTGTATTCTGTAGAAGGACAACCCTTCTGTAATCCCTATGGAATAGGAGAAAGATAAGTATTTCACAGACCTGAGAAGTTCAGACTATTGGCCATAGCCTTATAGGAGGAATGTAATATTGTATATCAAAAAAATTAAAATAATATACAAATTATAAACAGAAGTTTTCTCTTTTTCAACTTCTTTTATACCACTAGACATGATTTAAAAAAATAGCACTCAAACCTCAATGTAGTTATTCTGACTAAGCCAAATGACTCATTCATTTTGTCCTGTTTTTCTTTCTCCAAAACTATTCCCACAAGAATTTAATGAATCTTAACTGAGGTTAAGATCCTAAGATAGGAACATTGGACTGGCAAGGACCTTTTGGACAATCAAGTCCAGTCCCTAGTAGAACCAAAATTGCATTAGGACTTTCTTTGTTCTGTAAACCTTTTCTTCAAACCATTATAAAGGACTGTTGACTCCAGTGATTCTTTCTAACTGCTCAGTAAATACCAAGTCTGGAAGCTTGTTCTCTGATCTCATGTATGCATGTTTCTGAATTAAAACAGCCCATGAAAACTTTCCTGCAGTTGGTTATAAATTCACTTGAGTCATTTTTTTTCCCCTTTTAGTTCTTTAAGCACTTTTCTGCTCTTCAGAATCTGGAACTACTCAGCTGTGAGTTGTCTGTTCCCTATTTCATGGATATAGTTCAAGAATGCATCCTAAGCTTGGATGGAAATGTTGTTTTATCTGGACAATGCCAAAAAATGCAATAAAAACATAAAATTATTAGCAGAATCATAATTGTTTGTTTCCCTAATATTCGTCCATACTCATAAATTGTGTCTCTATTGCCTTATGAAATGAAAACTCTCTCTCAGACAGGGTGTGTCTACATGAACTATTTACTGCATAGTAGATGTTGCACATCTATACATGCACCCCTGTGAGGCTGGATTAAACTAGTTTACTCTGCAGCAGGATAGTATTTCTTATATACGAATATTATCATGCTGCAGAGTCTTTTACTCTGAAGCAGCACACATGTGGCTGCTGCCCTGGCTAGCTGGGACATGAAGGTACTTCATTGTGAAGGGCTACCTTCTGGCTAGCACCACATGAAAGCACTCTCTTGCCCCAGCCAGCCCCTCTGCAGTATGCTGAGCCAGGGGGAGCAACTTTGGGCTGGCAGGCTGACCTCCCCGAGACCTTTGGCAGCTGGGGCTCAACATGCTGCGGTCCCAGGTGTGCATGCAGACACAGAACCCAGGAGCAATGAACTCCAGAGCAATAAGCAATAAGTTCTGTAGTTTATTCATGTACATTAATTGCATGTGTAGACACACCCACCGAGATACAAAAGAGAAAGCATATACAAGGTACTTTGACAATATCTGTAACTGCAGGCTGCATGGTGTCTGGAATGAAGCAGTATATACATTTGAATTTTAACCCAGATAAGATGACAGGTTTTGTTTGGTTTTATTTATTAGTACTTTTTTCAGAACTTTCATTTCCCATTCACGTGTCAAGCCTAATGTTCAGTTTTGACTCGGCCTGCAGGAGAAGTCACGTGCTACAGGGTGGGGTTAGGCCTGGAGATGCGTAGGACTGTAGCCTCTACTCCCCTCCTCCATAGGAGGAAGAGCCTGCAAGTTGGCTACACTTGATAATGCTAGCCTGAGCAACTGAGCCTCCATGCCCAGGGAAGTCGCTGGAGACAGGAAAAGGAGTGGCACAGATTATTTCCCTGCATAAAATGATGAGAACGTAGGGAGTGATGGGAAATATTTGAGCCACAGTTCAGTCCTGCTCTGCTGCTGGAGTGACACATTATGTGTTGCCCATCACCCAAGATGGATTGCACAGTGTCAATCACTTGGAGTGTGCTGTCTTATGCTATTGTAGTATTACACTGTGCCCTTCACAATGATGTCTGAACATCTAGAAGGGAAGTAAAGTCAATCATCCATCCCAAGTGGCAAATTTGGAAACAGGATCAGAGCTGTATTTTTATTTGAATAACAGAAATAAACTGACTCCATTAAATTAATGTGAACAGTTGCACGTGCTGTAACCTTTTCTAGTCCCCCTGTCCCTCCACCCCACCACCACCACCATGTGGCCTTGGGGTATAATTGTACAAAGGAGCCACCAGAGAGAGTAACTGCAAGAGAATTCAAGGAGGGGGGAGCAGGGTTTACGCTCCCTCAACAGCCTAGAGTCCAAGAAATCTACAGAGCTCTACCAAAGACGCCGTCCTTCTTTATGAAGGCACTAGGACTCCGCTGATGCCTCTCACTGGTGGATTTGAGAAAAGGCTATAGTATAGTCAGCCAGAGGATCCAGTCAAGTAAGAGCCGCTGCAGAAGTGACCAAGGCAGGGATTTCTAGGGAGCTTCCGACAGATTTTTAACAGGATGTTCTCTGCTAATTGTCTGTTTGCTGCAAAACTTTCCCTCCTCTGCCCTCACAACCTGCAACTACATTGAATTTGCTTGTGTGTTACAAGAATTCCCTCACCCTGTATTCGTATTATCTGATTATAAGCCCTTTGGAACAGAGATTGTGTTTATATAGCACTTTTTACAAGGTCCCATTCTTATTTGGCCTTTAGGACTAGTAGACACAATTAATAAAAATAGAAGATAACAGCTGACATCCTAATGATCTTTTCTATCTGTTGTGCCAGTCAGACTTTAAGTATATAGATTTTTTGTTTCTTAATGTCCTGTGTTGAAAAAAAGGAATGTGAGACTACTCAGATAGTAAGCAATATGTCTGGTACTGTTATGCTTTTTTCCAAGGGTGTCCCCTGCAATTGTACTCTTTTTGAGACAAGAAATGTGTTCCTACTTCTGTTCTAATTTCCCTCAGTTCTACACCATTTTTGAATTCACTAATATTACTCCTATTTTACTTTTGTGTAAGTAAAAGCAGTCAGGCAATCTGTCTTCATGCTTGCCAAAAAGCACCTTCAAGACTTACAATCTAAGGTCTTAGTCCTAAAAGTATACATGTGCTTACTTTTGATTTCACATGAACATCCTCATTCAGATCAAGAGCATTACCTCAGTGCTTTATCATAAAAAAAATGTGGGCAAATTCAGGGAGCTTGTAGAAACTTTTCTCATGCAAATTGAAAGTGGAAAAACCGACAGATAGACACCATGTGAAACTATTCACAAAAGAGAATTGCACAACGTGATTCTTCTATAAAAATTGCCAAAAATACTTCATAAGTGACAGCAGTCATAAGTAATTGGGAGATGCAGTGTCAAATGGACACTGTAAGTGGGACAAAAGATATTAATGTTCTGCGAATGAACAACCGAACAACATCAAATAAGAGACGTGTGGGAAGTGAGTCATCAAACCAAAGTAGAAATCAGTTCATGGCTTAAAAATTCGAAGTTTGGATAACAATACAATGAGAGTAAGAAACATTTAATTTTGAAGAATAAAGAAATGCATTAATTTTATCTCCTTATTGTTAATTTCTAAGAAAAGTGATGAAGAACATCAGTTAGTTTATGGGTTATGATTTTAATCAATCTACAAGACACTGAGGTGTTTATTCCTTTAGAAAAGGAAAGTTGTGATGGTTGCAACAAGTAAGATGAAATAAGATCAACATATAATTGATTATCCATATATTTATACCCCATCAGTCTGTAACATCAAATTCTACTGAATTTGACCAATAAGTTTGGCTCATTTCATCAGTAGACGTGCAAAATATTTGTATAATCTGTGCCTACTCTAGCAGTCCTATTAGACACATTTACAGGTATATTGCAGTTAATTCATTTTGCAAGGCTAGGTCCTACAAAGTTCAGCTGACATCTTGTTTTCTTGCAAAACTTTCCATTTTGCTGCCTCATTTTAATTAATTATGTAAACTTCACAGTTAACGGGAAATGTTATGTGATTTTGATGGTAAAATATCACACAACATTCCATTTTCTCCAGATAATCTTTTAATTGCTCTTTTATTATGTGCATTGTCATACAACCCTTATATATAAGAAAAGGGCACAAAGGCATGCTGAATCTTAGTTTCTAAAGATACATTAAAAAAAGAAAAAAAAACCAACCAAAAATAGTGCCACCCTTAAATTAAAAGCCAGTTGTGGATATTGTCATATTGCGAGACTATCAAAATAGCCTCTTTCTGTTGTGGTTTATACGGCAGATATTTCACCTATGTTGCAACTATGTTGCTAATAATGTTTGCTTGTTCTTCCAGAAAATACCTTTTTACAATACAGTATATGTTTCTTTTAGTAATGTTTAATTTATTTTGAACAGTCATTAAAAGGTTCCTTTCCTTCTATGCTGTTTCTTCCTGGTTGAAGGTAACTGGATACATTAAGGCTGCCTTCATTTAATTGTCATATCATAGAATAATTTCCATTAAAATTCACTGGCTCTGCCAAGGCACAAACCCAGAGGCAAATTAAAGTGGTCTTTTTCGGGAATATTGTAGGTTACTGCAAATTCATGATGTTTTCCTAGCAATCTATGTATGGTGAATGGAGAAAAATATGGTATTGGCTCAACCTTCAATAATAATTAGCTTCTCGTTTTTCTGAAATCTTGCATTGTTTTAAAAATATTACTTAATGTTGACTCATATCAAAAGAGTTCCACTAAAAACAACCCAGTTCAGGCTTCTAAGAGTTGCAGGCACTCATTATTTTTCAACTAAAAGCTTTCACCCTGTAGTTTTGTTTGTCCAATCTCTGCACTGCACTTACATTTCAAATAGAAATTATTAGTGCACATAGTATGCGTATTACAGGGTTTGTGGTGATCCAAATCTTTTTTCCTTACTCCTAAAAAGGAAATAACAGCTTTGGAAATTTACGAAATGGTAGTACTGGTACAACCTATTAACAGACCACGAGACTTTTTATGTGTGTCTGGATCTTTGTTTTTGAGGTTTAGAAAAATTACTCACTGCAGACTCGATAGTGGTGACATTCCATGTGTTCCATGGCATTGCTTTTGTATTGTGTTGTATGCCATCCAATCCAACATGCACTAT